CCCCCACAGGCTCAACGGCATACAGTCTAAGTGCAGGAGGACCAATTGTTCATCCACTTGTCAAATCCCTCCTCATCACGCCTATCAGTCCTTGCAGTCTAAGTTTCCGATCCCTGGTGCTCCCCCTAGACACCAAAGTCACGCTACGAATGAGTCGTAAGAATCGTGGTCGTGAGCTTGACCTGAGCATTGACGGCAAGAGGTGTGCGGGAGTGTCGCCAGGGACAGAGATCCGGGTAGAAGGTGAGTTCGTTGGGCGAGCTGGTCCCGGCGAGGAATGGCATGGCGGTGTCCCATGTATGATCAGGACTGAGGATGATGACCCTTGGGTGGGTGGCTTGACTGGCCTACTCAAATTCAATCATCCTTTTGGACGAGAACCTGGTGGGGATGAGTATGCCGATTAGGTAGTTGTTGAGATGTATATGTATATGGATGGATACATATGGAGGCGGTTCTATTTGATACCCATACGTTTGGATAATAATGAAGTCATGAGGAGAGTTAGCACTCTTGGGGTGCGATAAGAATTCGAAATGCTTCTTCAAAGCAAGATTCAAGTTACCAATAAGCATATAGACAACTTTAAACGAATACCCGGGTAGGTCACCGGCTTGTTGTTACTTCATGCTCAATGTTCCGTCACATGGTTGCACTTCGGGCTCTCTATTCTTGAGCTGCTTTTGCTGAGCTTTCAACACGAGATATAGAATAAGATGATGACAGGCTTAGGGCTGAAAATCGCAGCCAATCGCAGTAAGATGGTGCGCGCAGCAGTAAGCGGCATATCCTTCAAAAATCCGGATCGGCCGAGTGGTGAAGCCATGGGCGGTCCGCGGACATGGACATGGATTACAGCCACTCAGCATGAGCAACTAGACTACCCTTTTCAGAGGCAGCGGTGATCCAAGATGGATTCACTGCGCGCTGACAGATGGCAGTGCATAAACCAAAGCAGAAGATCTTTGTCGATGGTCCACAGCAGCTGACAAGTGGCTCAGATACGTGGCAGAACAAGCGAAGACTCGTTCAAAACGATACGAGTATCTAAGCGCTCTTGTGATCATATTCCATGTGAAGAAGCATTGGAAAAGAGCCGCCAAGCCGTCTTGGCTCTGAGATTAGCAACGGCGGTTTGAGCTGGGCGGGTTCCCTTTAATTTCGCCGCCAGGGGGTTTTCCTCAAACATTCCGAGTCCTTGTGGATCGGGATATTTTGATGACCCATGATCAGCCGACTCTAGTTGTTTGATGCTCCATTGTAATGTCACTGGGGGTCTTTTGTTCCGCGGATCTCAATACAGTACTCAGCCTTTGGTGATCTTCTTCTTACTCTGCTGAGGACTTGCTATGACAAGAAGAGTCTGAGGTGAGGTCATTGTTTGACTCGGCGCGCGGTTGGACTTGTTGAAGTCATGCAGCGGGTGTTCCTGGAACGGTTTTAAGGCTTGTTAGTGGCTGGGTGATACAGGGGATGTTAGCGGGTGGTGGGCAGTAACTCAAACAGATGGAACTCGATACAAGGGCAACGGGAATTATCATACGCGAGTTGACCTTGAAACATGAATATGTATGTATTCAAACAATCAACTTATCACTACTGACTGATAATCAACCCTCACAATGGATTGATTGCCACAGTCCTTCCTCCGTTCCGCGGAGCATCCATCTCTAAATAGAAACAGAACACAGTACAGAATCACACACACAACCTGTGTCATTGCATTGCGTTGCATCAGACCGATACTGTACGGCTCAGAGAGGCGGCGCAGGGCTGGGCGGATTCTTGGCAGTGAGGCAGAGGCAGAGGCAGAAGAAGAAGAAGGGCAACGCCTGTAAGAAAATGGTGGCCCTTGGCTGATCGATGACTGAAGGAATGAGAGCGAGAGAGACATACAAGCTTAACTATTACCCTTAAATATCTAATACGAACCTTGACCTCTTTTCTCTTACTCTATTTCAATCAATACCTTGCCTTGCCCTGGCTGAACGCAAAAGCACGGGTCAAAAACCGTTGACGATACGGTACCGATACTGCCAATTAAACTGACCACCCCACACTGAATCCTTTCCTTTCCTTTCCTTTCCTCTACATACCCTTCTTATTATACCCGTCACAACCTCGACCTCGCGTGTTTCTTAGTTTTTCTTTATTCCCTTGTTTTCTCTTCATTTCTTCTTTTTCGGGAGCCAGTTATTTCTTATTTGCATATTGACTCTTTGGCATTTATTCATCTTGGACCACCCTTTCTTCGATCCGACCACCAATCCATCGATACAACACAACACAGCAGCAACTCGAATTGTTCGCTTCCATTCCTTCCGAGGCTGTGAATAGCTTCCGTCTTTCTTACCGCTCCTTTATCCGCCCGAGGCCGTTGCCATGGCCATTTCTTCGGGCCTCGCCCTTTTGCTGGCTGCCAGCGCCGCATTGAATCCCGTCACTGCTGCACCTTCGAGTAAGTCGACACTCTTGGCGACCGCGCGTGTCGCTTCACAATTGTCGTCGAGCGCATAGAAGCTGGTGGAGCGCGGTCGCATACATTGCATTTCTTACCCAGATGTTGGGGTCGCACGCGGATCAGAGCTAACGTGATCCAATCGCAGTCGACGACGCTTTCGTTGCCATCTCCAAATCAGATTTCTCCCCCCGATCAGTATCAAAACGAGGCACGCCTCAAGCTCCCGATGGCTACGTCCCCTCCAAAGTCGTCTGTCCGAGTACGCGACCGACGATCCGAAATGGCTCTTCCATCTCGAGCATGGAGCGCGATTGGATTCCCAAACGTCGCAACGAAACCATATCCCCAATCCGAACCCTCTTGAAGCGTCTAGCGATTCCCGGTTTCGACAGCGAGGAGTATCTCAAGGATGCTGAGACAGATCCTACTGCGCTTCCAAATATTGGTATTGCTATCTCTGGAGGTGGCTATCGTGCCATGCTTTGCGGTGCTGGTGCGCTGGCAGCTTGGGATATTCGTTCCGCTGGAAGCGACAAGGATGGAAATCTTGGTGGTCTTCTACAAAGTGCGACATATCTTTCTGGTCTTTCCGGTGGTGGATGGCTTGTGGGCAGTTTAATGATGAACAACTTTACTTCTGTCCAGGAAAGCGTGAACTATCCCGGAATCTGGCAGTTGGAGAATTCGATCCTCGAGGGCCCTGAGAATTACTCTCTTCTCCAGTACTACAATACGATTTTCGACGCCGTTTCCGATAAGAAGGATGCTGGTTATGAACGATCTCTTACGGATTACTGGGGCCGCATGCTGTCGTACCAACTGATTAATGCAACGGATGGTGGTCCTGCATACACATGGTCTTCCCTTGCCGACGATCCTGACTTTTCTGAGGGCAAGGCCCCTATGCCTATCATCATTGCGGATGGACGTGCACCAAATGAGACTATCATCAGTCTCAATGCGACCAATTTCGAATTCACCCCCTGGGAGCTTGGTTCTTACGACCCCGTTCTCCAGGGCTTTGTTCCTCTCAAGTACGTCGGTTCGGAGTTCGATAACGGCAAGCTACCAAAGGACAAGTCCTGCATTGCTGGTTTTGACAACGCTGGCTTTGTAATGGGAACTTCTAGCAGTCTCTTCAATCAGATCGTTCTGTATCTCAACGAAGACGACAACAACTACGTTCCTGACGGTGTTCCGGATATCGCGGTCGAGGCCGTGACCTCTGTTCTCAAAGCTCTTGGCTCTGATAATAACGATATTGCTGACTGGACCCCTAACCCCTTCAAGGGCTGGAACGATGAGCATAACCTGAGCGCTGACTCCGAGCGACTCACCCTCGTCGATGGCGGTGAAGACCTCCAGAACATCCCTTATTACCCTCACATCCGAAAAGATCGTGAGGTCGATGTTGTCTTCTCATTCGATTCTTCCGCCGACACCGACTACGGCTGGCCTAATGGCGCATCTCCCATCGCCACCTATGAGCGCTCTCTCACCAATATCTCGGAGGGCTCATCATTCCCCTCTGTCCCGGGCCAGAACACATTCCTCAACCTGGGCCTCAACACGCGCCCAACCTTCTTCGGCTGCAACGCCACCAACATGACCGACCCCTCACCCCTCATCGTCTACATCCCCAACTACCCCTACGTCTACTCCTCCAACATCTCCACCTTCCAAATGAGCATCAACACCTCCGAGCTCTCGGCCATTATTGAGAACGGTTACGCCGTAGCTACCATGCTTAACGGCACGCGCGACAAGGACTGGCCCATCTGCGTCGGCTGCGCAATGCTCTCTCGCAGCTTCGACCGCACAAACACCACTATTCCTGACAAGTGTCAGGAATGCTTCACTAATTACTGCTGGAACGGAACTCTCGATGAGAAAGAGCCCAGCGAGTATAACCCTACTTTCATCGGCGAGCAGATCGAGGTGGAAAGCTCAGCGTCAAAGGCCAGCAGCACTTTTATCGCCATTGCAGCTATTGTAGGATTTATGCTCGCCATTTAAAAATGAATGAAAAGTAGAGGAAAAGATGATATATATATTTGCTTATAGGAGTAACACATTGGAGTTTTGTTCTATCTGAAGCGCCATGATCTTGAGGACATGGATTCATGAGGAAGTTTACATAGGGGTTGGATAGATGATGAGTTGGAGACTCGTCTTATTATTGACTCGAAATTCTCCATATTGACATGATCATGTGAAATTTATTGTGGTGTTTGGCATTCAGTATGCGGCCTACCAGGATTGCAATTTGTAGATGTGAGGACCTTCTCGAATGGACTTCAATCTAGAGGATCATCACCAAAGTCGCTCTATATCGACTACGCACAAAGTACATACGTGTTTGCTCCCTCATGTAGTGTTAGCTAGCTTATCACTATTTAGCCTCTAATCAGGATCTCGAGCCCTTACACACAGGTGGATTCACAAGATAACTTCTCGCGAGACTGGTTCATGTTCAAAGACACTGCTCCTCCTATTCATAACTTTTCCTTCATTAAATCATTACATATCCCTAACTAATCTAAGCAAAAGTGACATCCTTGCCTGTCTTGGCACTCTCAAAAACACCCTCAATGATCTGCAAAACATCCCTCGCCTCAGATGCCTTCACCGGAACATCCTCCTCCTTCCCACTCTCAACAGCCTTGCCAAGCTGAGCGTAGAAAGCCTTGTAGGTAGGTGTCTCAATGGACGAAATGGTCTGCTCCTTAACCTTCTCGTTGTCATCAACGACAACCAACTTATACCGAGCTGGGTCCTCCTTTCCAAAGTCCGCGTCGGTAGCCTTCGCACCAGCCTTGAGCGCATCTTCTTGCGTGTCGAGACCGAGCTTGCGGAAACTTCCCTTTGTGCCGCGGACCCAGAAGCGAGGCTGCTCGAGTTCGGCGCTGAGAACGCTGATGCGGATGTTGACGAGGAGACCGTCGGGGTAGGTAAGTTCTGCTGACACACCGTCGGGGTTCTCAAAGTCGAACTTTCCTTCGCGTTGAGAGAGGAGACGGCCATGAACAGATTGGGGCTTGCCGAAGAGAACGTAGGCTTGGTCGATGAGATGAGTTCCCAGGTCGTAGAGAGCGCTTCCGCCTTGGGAAAGGGGGAGGTCTAGCTTCCAGTTCTTAGAGGGCACAAGACGATAACGGTCAAAGTGGTTATCGAACTGAACAATACGACCAAGAGTACCCTCAGAGATGATCTTCTTAAGGGTAACAAAGTCAGCATCCCATCGTCTATTCTGGTAAACAATAAGGAGCTTTCCGTTCTTCTTGGCAATCTCAATAAGCTTATCAGCCTCAGCAGAAGTAGGAACAAAAGGCTTCTCGGTCAAGACATGCTTTCCAGCCTCGAGGGCAGCCTTTGTGAGCTCAAAGTGGTTGTTGGGGGGAGTGCTGATGACTACAAGATCGATTGCAGCGTCGGCGAAGAGATCCTTGTAGTCTGTGTAGTGCTTGATATTAGGGTAGTCAGAGGGTGCTGAGTTACCCTCCTTTGGAGATCGTTGAACGATGGCGTGGAGTTTGAATTGAGGAGTTTGAGTGAGGAAGGGGATGTGGAAGATTTTGGCAGACATGCTATTGTTGTCAGCTGATGATATCACGAAGAGGTTGAGGGAACTCACCCATAGCCCACGACACCAACGTTGAATGTCTTTCCGCTCATATTGACTGACTGACTGTAGTTAACTTGAAGTTTTATGTCTGCTCGGAACGATGATTTAATAAGGGATACTCCCAGCTTTATAAGTTATGAGGCAGGTTCTCACCATTTCTCCAAGAGCCTCCACAAGATGAATTCCGTCATGGGTGCGGAGTCATTCCCCACGGCTGCTTCGCCATTCCTGGAGACTCCGGACGAGCTGAGCGCCACGATTGGTAGAGTACAGTGGATTAGGCCGAGAAAGTCGGAGATGTAGTGAAGGTCCAAGCGAGAAAGTGCGGTTTTCTTAGTCATTTTCTCAATCTCTTATATCTAATAGCAGCTATTCACAAGATGAGAATATTTGTAATCTGAAATGGCGTTAGATGAGTTTACTTTTGTTTGAGGAGATTTCGTGATGTTGCGGAGTGTCCGTTTTGGGTAGTCTTGGAGCATGATGAGATGAGCTGATGTGCACTGGTCGGTCCGAACACGGTCTACCGGCATCTTATCAGGATAAGAGCGGATAGTGATAAAGCGGTTGAAATAGACGCCGAAGATTACGGGCCCGTCTCTCATGATATGGCTCCGTGCCGGACTCGACATTTCTGCGTCTCGCGTCCCGATGTGGATCTCCGGACAACGGCTCAAAGTCCGGCCAAGAACCGAACCGCGAAGTCCAAAACACCAAAGTATAAAGAGTCACGATAAATCAAGTAGAATAGAACAGTAGCTCCGGAAACAATCCAATAATAGCAATGGCATTCAACAAAGCCTCACAATTCACCATTTTCCGTGGCCCTGGAAAGCCAACCGCTTTCACATGGTCCCCCTTCGTCATCAAACTCGAGGCTCGCCTTCGCTTTGCCGGCGTGTCCTACAGGGTAGCCGAAGGATCACCGAAAACTGCACCACGAGGAAAGATCCCATACATTGAAGCTCAAGGTGAGAGTTTGAGCGATTCGACATTCATTATCAAACGCTTTATCGAGGATGGTCTCATTCCTGATCTTAATGCAAGTTTGACGCCTGTTCAGAGAGCACAGGATCTTGCGTTTAGAGCTCTCCTGGAAGAAAAGGTTTACTTTTACGGCACCCGCGAGAAATGGTGCGATAATTATTATACCATGCGTTCCAACATCTTTGCTTCTATGCCGTGGCTTCTACAGGTTGTCATAGGGTCTTTGGCAGCTCGTGCAAATGCAAGAACTGCGTATGGACAAGGAACGGGCCGTTTGACAGACGAAGAAGTCACAGAGTTGAGAGAGGAGGTTTGGGAGAGCGTCGGAGTTTTACTAGCAGAGGCGAGGATGCGGAAGAAAGGCGATGATGGACCGTTTTGGGCTCTTGGTGGTGATGAGCCTACAGAGGTTGATGCGGCGATCTTTGGGTTTATTGTTTCGTCGTTGATATGTGAAGCGTGAGTTTGCACTGGCTGTTGATGAGGTTGGGGGTTATGCTAATTGTGTTTTTTTAGAGCTCCGACTTCAGCGGCTATCATGAGGAAGCATTCGAGTTTGATGGAGTATGCGGGGAGGATTCATGAGAGGTATTTTCCCGATTATGAGAGATGGGAGTAACGTGGTGTTGTGGGCACGGGGTAAGAGTTGAAGAGCTGGAGGCATAGAACATGAACCGTAGTTAGCAAGCAAGTTTGTCAGTTCATCGCAGATAGATCTCAACTAAGAAAGACAGGAATCAGGATGCATGCCAACAATTTTCATCTTGAGTTCCTGCATGAAATCTCCAACACCGTCAGCCAAGTTGCTCCAATCCTACCTTGCGTCACACCATGTTTCATCTCCGTATTCTCGACTATCAAGGCTCGACGTCAGAGCATCTATTCCATGAAACTGATTGTCAATGAAGCTTGGAAAGGTCCAAATGACGTTTGTCCAAGTTTTTGAGCTCTTTTTTTCCTTGCAGGGGTTCGAGGGTGATTGGTGGTAAGTACCCTCTAGCGAATCAAGCAAGACGGGAACTCCCCGTGCATGTTGGTGATGACAACTCTCAAGTTGAGCGTGAGAGGGACAACTTCATATGCTTCAATTGATCTTCAGCCTCGGTATATGTACAATAATCCTCTGAAACTCTAACTTATAGCTCAGCCTTCTCCTTACATTTATTAACGGAGATTCGCCGTGTCTCAAGAAATTCACCAACCAAACCAAGGCAGGCAGATCTACCAACCAACACAACTGCTGGCATGCAAACCCGAGCTGAGATGGTTGCATACAGCTGCTATGTACCTATTTTAATCGCTGCAAAATGAAAACCAAACCTCGTCTGCCCCTGGAAACTAGACTACGCCGCACAATGGCTTCACTGAGGGTGTGGTGTCGGTCGTCACCGTCGTCTCATGGTGCAGGAGGTGGACATATAGCTGACGATGCATAAGTGCATTATGAAGATTTAGATCTCTTGTGCAACCTGCATTTATTTATTCAATTCAGCTCAGCTCATGTTTTAATCAGATCTTGAAATCTCATGATCTTTTAATGGGAAGATGCTACCGCGACGGTTCGTCTTTCATGCATGTTCGCCAAGTCGGCAGCGGCGGATATTGTCCACAATTATAGCGATCAGACCATTTCGATTCCCTAGGTTCCCGCCTAAGAAAGATCCCGCTAATAAACAGCAATCTTGTCTTCTCCAGATTCTCTGCTCAGCTCCTCCTGTACCCAACAGCACTGCTCTAATATCCACGTAAATTATTAGTGCTGTAGAGCCTGCTAGAAAACTCGGACACTTCCGTTGCCTCGCATGTGAGCCTCGGCGTGGCGGTCCAAAAGAGCGGTTAATTCGAGCGCATTTGTCCAGTGTAGGAAGGCAGTTGGTCAAGATCCCTGCAAGCCTGACAGGGTCCCCTTTTATTCCCGGGTATAGGGGGTGCTAGTGAGTGTGTGGGTGTATAATGTACTGTAAGATGCGGGGGAGTTTGGGACACCGTGCACTCTCAAGTTTTGATGAGTAACTGAAAGAGAGGAAGGGAAATCAGGCCTTGACTTTGCCAGAGAGAGTTGGTCAAGGAACTAACTAGCGGTCACTTTGTTTCTATAGCATGCCACAATTGGAGGTAGAGAGAGTTAAGATTGTAGAACTAGATAGCAGTCAATTGACCTACCATCAACTCAACTCAACTCTACCTAGCCACAACTGTCAAACCCATTAGCATCTTTTGTTCCTGCATCATTGGCGTCCCTGCCTTGCCTTGCGTTGCCTCATCATCAAACCTGTTTTCTATGCCTCTCTTTTCCCTCTTTTTGTTTAGTTCCTCCTCCTCCTCCTCCTCCTCCTCCTCCTCCTCCTCTTCATCTTCGGCTTTGCCGCTCAAGTCGGGCCTAGTCCCCAAGCTCCCCCATCAACTGGCCTCGGATTAGTAGTACCCTTGTTCTCCAGCATGTGACTTGGCCAAGTCAATTCCCCGTTGAAGGATTCTCCTAATGGCGTCAACTGTTACTACAGCACATACATAGCTATTTTCTCTTTTTCAATACCAGGCACGCATTGAAGCTTTGTTTTACCCCGGAGATCGTAATAATAAATCTCAATGAGAAAAGAAAAGAAAAGAAAAGGGGAGCATTGTCCAATATCCGGGGGTGGATCGAAATCTCCAGCTTTTCTCTGCTGGCTTGATGAACTAGACAGTTCGTGCCATGTTGATGTTCTTTTTCGAGGTCAATCTCCGAAAAGTTGATTCTCAGAGTCAGAGAAGAAACGAGAACTTCACATGCCCCAGCGCTAGACCCATCTCCGCATCTCGCCCCCGGACTTTGGCATCACCCCTCGTCGATCTACTCGGCCGTGTGTGTCGAATCCGGAAGCCCGCCCCGCTCTCACAACGGCATAACAAAAGCTCTTACACGCCCTGGGTTGGTTACTTACCACAGCAAGAATAGAACCCTCTCCCCCTGGTAAGAGTTCCCTGTCCTTCTTTCAACCTCCCATTTGTCAACTTCCAGCTTCCGGCTCGTCGCAGCGCATCCCGACCCCCCTCCCCCGAGTCCACTCACACTAGACTCCAGAAAAGGACGAGGATCAGAATCAAGAACAAGAAGTTGACCTGCAAGTCTGCAGGAAAAGAGGCTGGTCTTCCCTGTAATGGTTAACGGGCAACGGCACCGTCACGCCCTAACCAAGTCGAGCTGACTTGTTGATTCCCTTTCCAACCTTCACATACATAAAGCCTCTTCTCATCCATCTCTCAAGCTTTCCTTCTTTCTTCTCCTCCTCATCCACTCGCTTCCATTGGACCAATTCAGCATCAGCTTCAGCCTTGCCTCTCTACACTCGTTGTGTCTTCCTCGCATATCAACAAGTTTATCAACTTTAAAGACAACCCAAGAACAACCTTCAAGATGAAGTACTCTTTCGCTATTGCTGCCCTCGCCACCGCCGTCTCGGCTCAGACTCTCGCCGACGTCCCCAAGTGCGCTATTCCTTGCCTTGACGACGCCATCACCAGCAAGACCGACTGCAAGACCACCGATCTCACCTGTGTCTGCAAGAGCTTCGACGATGTCCGAAGCGCCGCTACCTCTTGTGTGATCACCAAGTGTGGTTCCGACGTTGCCATCAGTAAGTCCCAACTCACAATTACATATGACAAGGCATCCATATACTGACTCGCCCCAGACGAGGTTCTCCCTGCCACTGAGAAGCTCTGCTCCGGCGGCAGCGGCTCCGGCTCTGCTGAGGAGTCCTCCAAGGCCGACACTACCAAGGTCGAGACCTCCACCAAGGTTGTCGTCACCACCAGCGCCGTCGCGACCACTGCTGTTGAGACCACCGCCGTCGAGACCACCACTGTCCCTCCTGTCGTTGAGAGCAAGACCACCGCTGTTCCCCCCGTCATCGAGACTCCCACCACCAAGTCCGAGGCTGCCGGCGGTGCCACAAGCACTCCCGCTCCCTCAGGTGTCGGCGAGAACAGCGCTGCTGGCCTCAAGGGTCTCGGTGCCATGGCCATGGCTGCCCTCATGGCCCTTGCTCTGTAAATGGAGTCAATTATGAGCGCCAATTCCTCATTGTGAAAAAAACTACTCAGTTCTTTCACGTGAAGTGACAGGCATTGTTACGAGCTGAAAGGAAAGTGATGAGGAGGAATGGAATATGTGTACATGGGAATTGGATTCGGATTTGTGATTGGAATCACGGGTTAATAATTAATGGTCTTGAACCACCAGAATATAGCAAATATACCAGTGACACTTGTCTCATTTCTCTGCCCTCAATTGATCGTGAATCGAAGGCCATGAATCAATTAACAAACTGAGACAGTCAGAATCATGCCACCAAAATCGTGATCAAATTCCCCATCATCCGAGTAAACACTCACCTTCTAGAAGTAGAAACATGACTAGTCATGTCCCAGTAAAAAGTGGTCGACGTCTGTCGCCGTTTCTGGCACAACCGGCGCCCGAAACCCTTACGCGGCCTCATGCGGGGAGTGCAGCAAGCGATGTCACGCCGTAAATAGACAAGACCAACCAATTCATTCATTATGTGGCTGATGATATAGTTTCGATCGAGATCCAATGGAAATCATTTCTATTATGCATAAGATCGTGGCAAACTTGTCTAGTCTTTTGAGAGTCAGCTTCGTCATGTTCGTTCAGTTATGGGCCAGTGCTCACGGTACACGTCTATTGTTGTTTGTCAAAGGGCCCTTGAACAAAGAAAGGGCTGGGCCTCGTATTCTTGACCCAAGTTTGTTTCACCTCGTTTCAATTCTTGGCTGCTTCGATCTCTTCGACCCAACCGCAGACTCTCCTTGCAACTTCTAAGCTCGCATCTGAACTTGTTAGCAACCCCCACCAACTTTTCGATGGTCAACTTACCCTCTCTCGTGCAAAAAGCGTGAGGAATATCCCCCTCATCTTGCACAATTCTCGCTTTATCTCCTCTCTTCTCCACGATGCCGTCCCTCTCGTCGTCATGAATCCAATGATCCTTCTTAGCATAGAACAAAAAGAACTTTGGCGCTCCGTTCTCCTCTCCTGTCGTGTCCCATAGATCATCGTTCCACTTCTCTTCAGTTATCATCTCCAGCTCTGTCAATCCCAGATGAACTGCCTGCAACACGCCATCTCTACTCTTCAACCATCGTGCAGTGATGTCTGCGCTCGCAGGCGTAAAGCCCAGAAGGCGCTGAACGATCCATGTCACGCTTGCGACACTCAGAAAGCCGAGAAGGAGACGTGCGAGTAAACAAGCTGCAGTGTCGAGGAAGGGAATAAAGCGACGCAACAACTCGAACTGTACACCATTGGATGACCGAGCAAGGTGCGTAAGCGTCGGACATATCAGAAACCCATGTCGAAGCTTCAAATGCGGTGCTCGCTCCGGATTCTTCATATGGCGATGGAAGATCTCAACAGTGATGAATGACCCAACGGAATGGCCCATGAGAATCACAAAGTCGTACCCTTTTCCTTTAGCCGCAACGATATCGTACGTACCCTCGATCTGTCCCTCCAAATCCCATGGTTTGTTTTTTGAACTGAAAGGCTCGTGATCATCGTCGCTGAAGCCGAGCAAGTTCGTGCCGTAGATATCATAAGCAGTGTCTGTCTCGATCTTGTCTAAAAGGCCACGCACATGACTGAGGAAGTCGGTGTAGTACTCGATGAGGCCTGGGTTACCACAGATGTAGTGAATGAGGGCTTTCTGTTGAGCCCCTCCAGAGCGCTCTGAAGGCAGCCATATTTGAGGTGCCATTGTATGTTGTTGAGTTTGGTGAGTGCTGAAATGAAGTTGTGATATTGAAGATAAGGGATGACGAAACCATTGGCGGAGTTTTCGAACAACCCGAGCTACCCGGTAGCGAGATAACGAAACTGAACATAAACACGCCCACACATTGGATCCAATTCCATGTATCCGTACATTTATATCTGGAAATGACTTCTAGTTTATACACCAAGGGCTAAGCCAGGCGTTAAATACTGTTTATCGTGGCATTGCTATGCCAAATCTCACGAGAGCACCCTTCAGACCATTAAGATATTCGACAGTCATATTCGTTACGGCACTCAGGTTACTCAAGCATTAAACAGTAGGCCAAGCCAAGCCAAACCAAACCAACGCATCAAATCAGTCCCAAACTCCAACCTATGGCTAGCACCATGCCTTGAAACCGTACTCAGGAGCCACTCTAGAAATGCTACAGCCAAATCTTGCAGGTTCCGGTCATGCTCGTGTACTATCTATCCTCCTCAGACTTTATGAGTCTTTCGAACTTCTACGAGTCCGACATTCTTCTTGGTAACTGCCGCCCAAGTTGGCATGTACTTCAGAAGCTCGTCAAGAGCCGGGATCGTTCCAGGCGTGTTGGCATCACTGTAAGCACAACTGACAGTGACTTCGAGACGATCAGCTGTTTGCTCTGCTGACCGCACTCTCAACTCGTGGTCTTCCTGTGACTTGATTTCCTCCTGATCCGAGTCCACCGGCGCAGATAGAGCATTTCGCTCATTCAAATACAAGTTCAATGTCCAGGGTCGATCTCGATCGCGGCGCCAGAGCTGGACGCTGCTGAAACCCTCAGAGGGGAACTTTCCGAAACGAGGATCTCGTGGGCTGGCACCATCCACGGCGAATCCATAGACGGGTCGTGATGTGCGAACATAGCAAAGCCTCGAGTCAATAGCATCAATTCGAAGTCGTGCTTTGCTTCCATCGCTGCCATATATCGTCTCAACTGAGACCAAATCGTCAGGAGTCTTATTCCTGTACAGTCTGGGTGCCAATGATGAGGCATCGTACTGGCAATCTGACAGATCACGTCCAACAGCTGGCTGACACTTGATCTCTCGACCCGAAGTGCTCGGCAGGGTGCTGATGACAGATCGCGCATACTCCTCAAGTCCTACGATAGAGACCGTGTTGGTACCATTATCCAGGTCGATGACTTGTTGGAAATAGAACTTGAAACGGTTACTGTCGGAAAACGGGAATGCGACCAGGTTGTAGATGAAGGTGCCGGCGAAAACACAGAAGAGGAACAGCGGAATATGGTGGGTAACACGGTGGATGAAAGGCGTGAGCGGGAGCAACAAGAAAATGCTCAAAATGCCCAATGACAGCACGGGAACAAGGAGGCTACCCCCGTCAGTACCTGTCATCTGGGTAGCAGACATAACAACCAGGCCAATGTTTCCAAACAGGATCACGGGTACGGGAGCCAGAAAGAGGAACTGGAGAATCCAAGTCCACGTAGGAAGGCGTCCAGACCAACTCTGCTCATGCTCGAAAGGCTGGTATCGTCGCATACTAGGCGGAGAGGGTGAATTTTCAGCGACCGAACGGCGATATGTGTTGGCAAACGAAGTCGGAACGTTGGACCCGTATCCTGATTCACCGGCCCTAAGCGGCGTGGTCTCGGTCGCATCCTCAGATCCGTCCTCGTAATCATCTGCCTCAGCATGAGCAGGCTCACTCTCTGTCTGGGGTCTAGATTCATTCTCATTATCGCGGCTAGAAACATCTCGCGCCTGATGAGCGTCGTGAAGCTGCATTGCAAAGTCATGCTTCCCAAGCAACGCGAACTGTTCCAAAAGAGAAATGAACAGGGCAAGGAAAATGGCCGACTGGAAGAACACGGTTGCGTAAAGGGCACCAATGTGCATACGGTCCTCTGCCACAGCACACACAACTTGCACACCCCAGCCAAGGGCAAAGAGCCACATCAGAACAAAGCCTCGATGAAGTGCACTGGGGCGAACAAAACTGGCACCACGCATGATGAGCCAAAACGAGAAGTAAAAGATGGAAAGAGTCATAGACCACCTGGAAGACATTAGTTTTTGATATGCCAACAAATAAAGCCACCTACACAGCATATCCGCTGCTGTAAATAATCAGCGGATTGAACTTAGCAATCAGAAGAGTAGATGCAATAGTTAGTGCCCCAGCGAAAGCGAGGGCAAATGGAAAGCGGAAGAATCCCTTCCAGCCACCCAACACGACTGGGTCATCGTTAATGTCGTGATGCATCTTGATATCCCTTGAAAAGAAGTAGTATTTATCCTTGCGAGCCAGGATGTACGTAAAGGCAATCAGGATCAGCGGCGTGGCGACGAGAAGCGTTAGAGACCATGCAAAGAGTCCTCTAAGCGCGAACACGGCCCACGCAGCACCAAAGATATCGAACCAGACACCCTCAGCCTGCTTGCCGTTCTGAGCAAGATCAGAGTTGCCATCGGAACGGTCACCATTAAAAATGGTGCCGGTCGTCTTTGACAGGTGCTCAGTCGACGCGAGAGCAGCGGAAAGCATGTGCCAAATGCTGTTAACAGATGTGTGTCGTGTATCGTCTTGGTTGGTATGGTACCGAGCGCGAGGCTCATAGAAAGCAATATCAAGTCCTCTTTGTCCATAGGCATCTGCGAAGATCTCGTAATCGGTTGCGCTCTTGATCACACCTCTCTCGAAAGCATTAGCAGCAACAACGGACCCTAGTGGATGGGGGCTCTTGGAGTAAGCCTTTGCAGCCTGCAAGTCAGTGGTACGGAAAAGCAGCGCGCGGCCTCCTGCGCCAGCGCCTTCAAGGTTGACGAATGTATGAATGAATAGTAACAAGGGACTGTAGCCGAAGGCTCTGGCACCGAGAAGCCCATCCTCCTCTGCGTTGTTGAAGAGCAGAACGATGCCGTTCTTGGGTTGACGCCCTTTGAGTGTAAAGTAGCTCAGGAGCTGGAGCATCGACACGCAGGACATACCATCGTCGGTGGCACCATAACCGGTGGAAACGCTGAAACATCGTCAGTTGAAGGACCTCGATATTTTGGTTTCACCTACGAATCAAAGTGGCAGTTGACAAGAACACCGCCTTCGCCACGGAACTTCTTGTACTTGGTTTCGTCACGCCACCATTCACCCTCAGGGTCGTTTTTGCCGTGGATGTAGACGTAGTAGTTGTTGCCCTCAAAGTACTGCCCCAGCCATGTTCCCTTGGAAATATTAGAGCCCATACGACGAGCAGTATTGTAAGTCCAGGAAACGTTAGAAGTTCTGTCATCGAAGAGCGTTGCTCCACGAGGCTTGTCTTGAGCTGATACAGGCGAATCTTGGTTCTCCATAGAAGATGTTCTACTCATGTTAACGATATGCGCATGAGAGTGGGACAGAGACTGACCTTGAGTGCCAAACTACACCACCAATCGTTTCGGTGGTATACGACATATCATTGCGATCGAGAATCTCCTTGGTCCGGTTAATGATGAAATCGCGTACTCGGTCATTTTCGTGACTGTTGTAGGGATGATAGGCGCGAGTAATGGTTTGCAGATCGAGCCATGCTTCAGTCAGATTGAGACCCTGATACAGCGACCGATCAGCCGGAGCTGAAGGGACAGTTTCGTGAACCCAAATAAGAGGAATAAAAAGAGCGAGATATATAACAGTCGTCCAGAAGGACACGGGCCCTGGCCGGAAGGCAAGAGGATTCTTAGCCCTCATGGTGAGATGATGATTTGGTTTGGATTGGAGCTGAGGTAATCCTAGGTGACGCGCCCACGTCAGTGCGTCGCGGAGTGGAAAAAGGTCTTAGTTAGGTGAAAAGTATATGGCGATTAAAGTTATAGGATCATGGTCAGGTCTCGAATCAGCGCGTAGTAGTGCAGAGGCTGAGAATACGAAGAAAAGAGCCAAGAAGATGGAAGATAAGACAAGGCAGTTGAGGGAGAGAGAGTATGAGACAGACGAGAGGGATCTAGTTAGATCAGATGACCCTCGTCGTGAAAATGAAACAAGAAGGCACCGCACAAGACACTTCAAGAACGCGACTTCCTCAGCGCGTTGTAGTCACCTCACTTGAGTGCACCAAAAACCGAAAATATCATCGAGTACCAAAACGAGATGAAGTTTGTAGAACTTGATGAGCCAAGAGGCGAGGCAACTGCTACTGATTGCGTTGCTTCCATTCCCTTGTCACATGGCCCAAGCTCCCTGTTCCGGAAGGTAAAAAGATACGTACAATGACGCCAGAGACACTGTAATGCGGGGTCTACGCATGTATGAGCTGCATTAAATAAGTTTACGTGCATAAACAGGCCTCAGAGCAACAAAGCTTAGAGTAAGTTATCTAAGTCTTTTCGTCATTTAGGATCGAGGCCTGAGTTTTCTTTCCTCCCCTGGTCAGGGCATTTCACAATTGGAGACATTCTCAAGGTCACAAGCAACAACAGGAGAGACTGATCATAACTAAAACGACTCAATTATCAAGTACAAGTTGCCTACGCGATTAGTTCCTTGCTTTTAGTGAATTATCTCGCAAAACACAAGCTGAACATCAAAGCTCGTTGATACAAAGCAATGAAACGCAGTCTCATATTGCAGTCAGTGGTTAGTTCGCTGCCACGTTAGAAACGATCGCTTATCCTCCGTTGTCGGTGTCTGGTTATATAACGATTCTTAAAACTATAGTTGAGGTTTAAAGCTGTGTCAGAATGCCCCTCGGAACCAAACAGCCTCGTTAGTCTGCTCAGTTAAGCACCGGGAGGTGGGGGAGGCGGAGGCTGATCACTGGGAGGTGGTGGCGGGGCATCTCCAGAAGGCGGAGGAGGAGGAGGTGCAGCGCCGGCATACTGCTGAATAAAGGCATTAATGTCTCCAAGGCCTGGGGGAGCACCGGGAGGAGCCGGAGGTGCACTGCCAGGAGCACCAAGACCAGGAGGAGCTCCCATTCCGGGAGCAGCGCCGTAGGCACCATAGCCAGGATAACCAGCATACCCACCCTGAGTTCCAGGAGCCTGTTGCGCCCAGGGAGCAGCAGCGCCTGAAGCACCTGCGTAAGCCTGTCCATAGTAGCTGTCGCCAGCATTACCGCCTTGATGATCGTCGTTGCGACCACCGCGATCTCTAGCCCAGGGAGCTGCCGATCCACCTTCGTTAGAATCCTGGTTGCGGCTGCGCCATGGTGCAGGTCCACCAGTAGGGCCTCGCTGCCAAGGCTTCGCGTCTCCGTTGCTCGGAGCGCCAGGGCCGGCCTCGATACGCGCAGGAGCTCCAGAAGATCCTCCACCAAGCTCTTGCATGAGTTGCTAATGTGTGTTAGTATTGTATAGGTAGGAGAAACAGCGGAGTTCTTACCTCGTATTCACGGTCAACATCATCTCCGCCACCGATACGACCAGCAGGGCGGGCACCAGCATCGTTCTGGCGCCAGCTAGCACCACGCTGTCGGTCGGGACAATCGCGAGCCATATGACCAGCGTTGCCACAGACGCGACAGATGATGCTCGCAGTGAAGTTTTGCTTCTCAGGGCAGTCGTACTTGCGATGACCGATCTTGCCACAGTTCTGGCAAGCCTGGTTCTCGTCGTCTCGGAGGGTACCGTTGAGCGCGGCGAGTTCTCGGAGCTGGTTTCGCTTGAGTTCGTTCTGGCCTTCAGGAATAGACGCAGCCTGGACAGTGTTAGTATAGATCTTGGGGGGCTTGAGGATAGACTTACAGTCTCAATGACGTTGTGGATGAGCTTCTTGGCCTTGTTGACCTTCTCTTCGGTATCGGCCATGATGAGACAGTGCAGATCTTCTTCCTGGTTGCTTGCGTGCGCGGCATCAGACCGACCCTTACCCTCCTTTACGGAGCCCTTGCCACGAATGGCGATCTTGGCTCCTGAGTCTCCCTCCATTTTCTTCAGAGTGTTACCTCGAGGTCCGATAAGTAAACCAACTTTAGTACGAGAGAGCTAGTGTTAGTGTCTGATTCGCAAAGATTAGATGAACGTGTGAAGGTTAGTCCATTCGATGAAGGACCAGGCCTCAAACACCACCGGGTGTGATGGTGAGTCTGATCAAACTCCAAAAGGAAAACAAAAACAGGGGATAATTTTGGTAAGTAGGGTTAAAGGGTTAGCAATCATACTGAAGTTAATTTCCGGATAATCGTTAACAGGAACATAGACCTTCTCCTGAGTCTTAGTAGGTCTACGATAATCCTGTGGCGGGTGGTAGTTAGGAATGGTCTTCATGGCCTTCTCGATGAGCTTGTGGCGCTCATCTTCAAGCTTCTTTCGGTATCGGTACTCTCGTGTATTGATACGTCGACCGTGGTTATCGTATTGAGGAGCGGGAGAAGGAGATCTGTCATGAGTTAGTATTGCATGGATATTATCAACAAATAAAAACTTACCGATCGCCATCAGCTGGGACGACATCATCGATGCGAAGCTTCTGGGAGATTTCCTCGATACGCAAATGCAGTGTGTAGGCCTCAAGCTGTTCACTTGTCATGTTGGACAAGATAGCAGTGGGCAAGCCCATGAGGCCAGCCGCCTTGTTCTCGGATGCATCACCCCATCGGTTTCGCTTCTTTCGTCGTCGAGGTCCATCAGCTTCGCCACGAGGCTCGGGATCGCGTCCACGCTTCAAGTCGCGATCGACTCCAGCGTTGCCATTAAACTCCTCCTCCTCGTCTCCGAAGCGTCGCTTCCCGAGAGGGATGTTGTTGGAACCGGTGATTCCTTGGCTTCTCCACGACATCTTCGAGCGATACGCAATCAAACTTCTGATGCGCTGGGGAAAAGGTATATGATGGTCCAGAAAAAGAGCTGGACTTTTGTTGTGGATGTTGAAAGTTCAGGGTGGGTGCCTTGGTGCTTTCAAATGTTATGGGGCGATTTGACGGGTCGGTGAAACACTCAGCCGGAAACCCACGTGACTTACCTGAATCAGTTGAAAGCGAGACTACCTTAGATGGCAATGTGACTGAAGGAAATAAAAGGGTCTTATATAACAGCGAACGATTAAAGTTCTTCAGGGAATGGATATAGCAATGGCGTAAATTTTGCAGTATTATTGAATATTATGTATATATAGTTTATGCTGCTTTGAACTGCAAAAACAAGGTTCTAATCTTCTTGGTTACATGCCTAGAGAACAGACAGGTTTATCCACATAGCCACAGGATCAGGCCACAAGGTCCTGCAATGACAGCCAGGAAAACACCCACGCGTGAGGTCAATAGTACCGGGGTGAGTAAAAGAGGATTGATCAAAGTCTATATCTGAAACCGACAACCTGCCAATCCGTCGCATCTGATTCAGGGTCTGAGAAATCTCCATGACCCCGAACATCCCCTCGTACAACACCCCCTGAGCCAGCACTTCCAACGATACCCTCTACTCTTGTTCGTCTTTCATTCGAACCTTTAAGATAGATTCTCAAACACACAGCACAGACTGTAGCTAAGCTGTAGCAAATGGCGATAGCCTTGAAAGCAGTCTCGTATAGTGGATCCTCAGACTTGAGGAAGAACTGCGGACCTGCCATGTTTCCAACGCAGTATGTGATGAACAGCATGGCCGTTATGGTCATCTTCTTGGTTACGCCGCGATAATTCGATTGTACGAGGGCCATGTTGAGAGGCATTGCTGCAGATCCGCTCGAGAGGAGGAAGTAGGCGAAAAGATGGATGCTGTGAGGCACATTGTCTCGTTTGTAGATGATTGCACTGCCAACGACACATGGCATGATAACACCGATGATCAAAATGCAGTTCAGCGTGCGGAATCGGCCAGCCAGGTATCCGCTTCCTGATATGATACCTGCTGATAGAAGTGAGTAAGGTATGTTGATGAGTGTGGATTGCAAATTTGTGAATCCAAAAGATTCAACCACGATATTCGCGAAGCTTTGTGATCCACCATTTGGAATCTGCGTGAATAGCTCGATACCCACGATGAACCAAGATTTGGGGTCAATAAAGCATTCACGGACCTGATCCCATCTCCAATCAGTATGCTCAGTCGAACCAGTACCAGAAGATACCACACGCTGTGCCGCGATTCTTCTCTCCTTTGGCTTGAGGAAAGAAGCTTCAGAGATGTTGTCTGGGAGAAGGAAAAACAAAGGCATCGCCCACATAAAAGTCGTGGTGCCTAGAATGATGTACATCCACCTCCAAGGTCGTATCGACGATCCATCGACATGACCAACTGCAAATGCAAGTAAACTGGCCACCAAGCCCCCGACAGAGTTTCCAGAAAACCAGATTCCAACACGAGTTGGCATCTCATCGCGCGTATACCAAGTTGAAGTCAGAAACATGAAACCGGGCGTTATCGTGGCCTCTGCGACTCCCAGAAGGAATCGCACGACCAAGAGGCCACCGAAGTTATGGCACGCCGCAGTGAGTGTAACGACCAAGCCCCAAAATAGTGTGTTTACCGTGAGATACTTCCCTGTTGGAAGACGTGCAACGAGAATAGTTGTTGGGTATGTCCATAGAAGATAGCCCAGGTAAAAGACGCTGCCAGCCCAGCTGTATTGCTGGCCTTTGAGTTGCTGCAATCATATTAGCAGTGAAGGTCTGGGATCGAATGGTGGACGTACAGTATCCTCTCTGAGTCCAAAAACAGCCGCGCTGGATAGGATGACCTTGTCCATAAAATTCAACATATAGGTAATGAACAGTAGTGGAATGATGGCTTTGTCAATCTTGGCCAATACTCTGTTTGCCGCTTCATGGTCGATATCATTCTCTTGAGGCAACAGGGTACTGCCGGCCGCAGAAGGGTGTCTATGGACATTTAAGAGCGGAAGGTTTGGATTGTTGTCGACTCCATGCTCTGTGAAGCCGTCTGGTTCACCGTCAAGCGACGACGAAGCATCTCTTCTGTCGGAGGTGTTGGTTAGACATGGCTCGCTCATCTCTGCTCTTGCATGATGGAGTGATAACTGAAAAGAGACAAGAACGGCATCAATCTATTTCCATAGCTTCACTACTATGGGAAAATCCTCATGTCCCATTGTTTCTGAGAAATGACGCCTGTTGAGGGAAGGCTAAGTCGTGCTCGAAAGATAACGGTCAAGCTCGAGAGTGCGAATAGCTTTCTGATACTGTACTGAACACGGACAGATGTATGTGACCCAAATTGCATAAATGATTTCGCCGCGATCAGTCAGAGCAAGCATGAAGGTGCTTCCGAAATCGACGAGAATATGTAGTTTTCTTAAAATTTCGGTCCAAATAGTCCCTGATCATAAAACTTTCAGATGGTCAAACCGCGGTGACATGCTATCCTCCCACATGGCTACTTTCATGTCAGGTCGTCGATACACCTCGAGGTCTGGAAGTAATGCGTCGCATTTCCTGACTCTCGCTGATGCCTCTAGAAAAGTCAACCTCGTCTGCCTGGTTCAATTCCCGCGCCTCGTTGGCAATGCCCAAGTGTGCTTCCTGATGATCTTTGCTGAGATGATGCGCTTTCATGAAGAAACTAAGCAACAAGCCAACGCCGGAGAATACAGTGTACTATCGAGGATCAGTATGAGAGGAGAATTAGAAGTCGGTCGATTTTCGCACCATTATCCACATCTTGTCGAGAGCATTGAAGAATGCTGTCCTCACGACAAGCTGCGACTCTGTCGGTAAGGTCTTGATCATATCGACGCTCGCAGATGCAGATGTACCATTGAAGAACCTGGCAAGGTCGGATCCCAGACTATCTTCAAGAGTCTGATATTCACCTTTCATTTCGTTCTGGAACAGTATCCCGCCAATGACAACGGATATGCCTGAGGCCAGTGTTCGGATAAAACCCATCGCAGTGGTGGAGGCCGCAACGTCCTTGTGCGGCACAACAGCTTGAACAGACAACAAGGGGCCTTCAAAGTTCAAGCCAACCCCAATTCCTGTCAATATCTGGTAAGAGATCAATTTTGCCCAGTTCATGTCAATGTCCAGGCTGATCATCAGGCCCATTCCCAGTGTCATGATCATCAACCCAACACGGGAGACCAGAAGATACTTGCCACTGAACTGGATGTAGGCTCCAGTAAGAGCAGCAGAAATTGAGATGGGCAAGATGAAAGGGAGAAGTAATACACCCGAGCGCAGTGGGCTTGCTAGGAGAACTGCTTGAAAGTATAGCGGCAGGTAATAGGCGACACCAAGAAACACAAACGCGTGGAAGAATGTGACGGCGTATGCTGAAGAGGACGAACAGGTCTTGAAGAGATGTACTGGCAGAACGGGAAACTCCGCCAACTTCCACTCGTTCCATATGAACAAGACGCCAGTGACCACACCAGAAACTATGAGAGACACCACTGTTGCAGAGTTCCAAGGTTCGTACACACCACCAAGATAAAGACCGAGTAGTAACATCAAAGTCCCTCCGATGATGAGAAAGCTGCCGGGCCAGTCTATGGCTTTCAGGCCTGCCCAAACAGGGGTGTTGGGGGATGGGAGCTTGAGAGTAAAGACCAGGAGAACAAAGACTGCAGCGGTGATTGGTACTAGGGATATCAGATAACGCTCGGAAGACCTGTCATGGAAACTTACAATTGATCCAAAAACACCACCTCCAACTGGACACTGTTAGAAAGAATACCCTCCAACCGACATGAACTTACTTCAACCGATCTGTAAGGGCGCCTCCAAGTACGGGACCAATCCCAGACGCAACGGCCCAGACAATCGATGTCAGCCCATAGTATAGCCCGCGGTCCCGTTGCGAGAACATATCGCTGATACAGATATTCACCAGCGTCTGCATCCCCGCAGCGCCCAATCCTTGAATGGCCCGCCCAGCGATAAAGACAGCAAGGCCGTCAACCAGAGCACAAATAAGGCTACCTGCAAAGAATATGACATTGGCGACGAGCAATATAGGTTTTCTACCCCAGATATCGGAAATCTTGCCCCATGGTGGTGTTGAGGCAGTATGGGCGAGGACAAAAGACGTGCCTATCCAAGTATAACCCGAATCAGATGCAAAATGGGCAGCGATGGTTGGAAGTGCGGTTGATACAATGGTCAATTCAAGTGCGGCAAGGAAGACACAGGCGCAGAGCGAGGCCATCACTGTTGCACTTTGAAGGAGGGTCTTCCTCGATTTGGTACTCTGGAAGCCGGGTTCATTGGAGCTTGAAGCGTCATGGTTGTTACTCAAATCGGAGACCGGCGTTTCTCGAACAGGGCGGTGTTGATTGCAAACTTGGTATGCCGCTGAGCCTCTGTCGTTGATATCGTCAAGTTGTGTAATTGGCATGGACGGCCCAGGCGCCTCGGAGGTTGTTTGTGACATGGTTATTGTAAACGTCAGACATTGCAGATTGTCTTCGGATATGAGTTACGAGGAGGAGAAGAAAGGGTATTTATATAGCAGGAACTCCATGAAAGATGACATCGATTCCGTCGTGACGTTGATGCTAGTGGTTCGTTTCTTGTGAAAGGATCCTTGCCCATGGTGTTGCTCCCAGTGGATCCTTTCCTGAATGCGATCGCATTCGAGGTTCCACCAAGATGAGACGGGCGGGATTGTATCTGGGGTAAGCGCATTCCCACCAGACCAGAACCTAGGGTCCTTGGTGCTTCCCTACATATCTTTATCCTTACAAGCTGCGTCGCCAGATTTGGGCATCTTGAACTCTCATTCTCATGAAGCTTTTCTTCTTGTTCACTCGACATAATGGACCTTGGCTACACAATCAGCCTCTCATCTTTAGCGATGCCGCCACACCTTTATCCCATGTCAACAAGATGCGCTAGGCAATGCGACCCCTAAGAGAACTGACTGGTACATCACGTGTGAGGCTTCATGCGTGATAACACCAAGTCCTACATCTCAGATTCCCTAGTATATGCGATTCCCCGGTATCAGATAGTGTCGTCCCATTCACAAGAACCAAGCCAGCTCGCCCAGTATGTCAGACAACAAATCTGATGTCAGAACCTTACAACCCCATACTCTTTGCTCCCTCTGTACGTCTTTCTGGGAACGTGCAACGTGCCTCAGATTTCGACCTGAAGTCCTTCTCAACGGCGGAGAAGGTGCCCCACCGATGCCACAGCATCTTCTCTTCTCTCCCAGCCGCACTGATGTTCTATCTGCTGCGTCGCAAGGCTGCCACTTCTGCTCCATCGTCGTTGGAGCCGTTGTAGGATGCACCGGAGATCATGGTGATCGACAGTTTCCCGGTGACAAGAATGGCCCTATCTATATCTCAATAGCGATGTTGGACACAGATGCTGGTACCTTTCTCCTTACGTTGTTTCCCTGCGAAGAGTCAAGGATCTTTAGTCATGATCAAATACTCAGCGATTATCCCTTACAACTACGCCCACTCACAGGTATAACTTATTGTGCCCTTAGATTCTAGCTGCTAATCTGTTTCAGAGAGCCATGGGGGCATAAAAGATGACAATCAACACCTTTTATCGACGCTGCAGTCAACTACCTATTCCGACGCAACTGCCGACTTCATTCGATCTTGGATTACTGAATGTCAGAGTACTCATATCCTGTGCGGCGACGACCTTTTGAGCCTGATTCTTGGTCCCGCGGAAACAAAAGTACGACCCCGTCGCTTGCTAGATCTATTGGCTTTCCCGGATATCGAGAAAATACGGATTATCGAGGCCAATAATGACCACACCAAGGAATACTGCGCCCTGAGTTACAGCTGGGGATTTAGTAAGCCCTATGTCATGACATCCTCTAATCTGGCGGCGTTTCAGAAAGAGATTCACGTCAAAGACTTGCCGAAACTACTACAAGACTCCATTCGAGTCGTCAGGGGTCTTGGGTTTAGGTATTTATGGATCGATGCCCTTTGCATCATGCAAGATGGGAGCCAATCTTCTGCAGCGTCGGATGATTGGGTTGACCAAGCAGGCAAGATGAATGACATCTTCGGTAACGCAGCTGTTACCATCGCGGCAGCCGAATGCTTTGATGGCAACTCAAGCATGATCGTGCCACGAAATCCGTTGAGTCAACTATCTTGCCGACTGGACGCGAGCGCTAGTCTCTACTATGAAGTCGTTCCACCATGCACTCCACACTGTTTGCTACACACTTTCGATAAAGCGCGCTTTCACCTCGATACAAGAGCGTGGGTTTTCCAGGAGCGAATATTGTCGCCTCGGACGGTGCACTTGACTCGCAACTTCGTTCACCTTGAGTGTAGGACTGAGCTCCGTTGCGGCGCTATGGGAGGATCTGGCGCATGCTATCACAGTGGCGCAATCGCCAAAGCAGATTATCAAGTACTGTTTTCCATGTTTGGACTACACGGGCTTGATGATTCTGCCCACGACGCATTTCTCTCCTTCTGGCATGAACTCGTCAGGAGGTATTCGACAACGAATCTGAGCCGCAAGTCAGACCTATTGGTTGCTTTGGCTGGTCTTGCAAAGCAAGTTCAGATAAAATCAAAACTCACCTGGTCGTTTGGGTTGTGGCAAGAGCATATACTCCGGGATATGCTATGGTATGTTAGGGGAGGAAGAGGCGCAGCTTGTCGTGAGAGGTCGCCGACTTGGTCTTGGGCCAGCATTGATGTACAAGGACCACAGATCATTTATGAGCCTGCCACACAAGTTTCCCTCCTTGCGGACATCATCGAACCGCCCGATGCAACAGACTTTGTAGGCCGCGGTCTACTAGTAGACATAACGAAACATTGCGTCAAGGTTTCAGGCCTGTTACGGCCTGGTGTTCCAGATTTGTTAAAATATGGTCAAGATTCTGCTTCTAGCACGAACAAGGACATTCGTGTCCATAGGAATTGTCAAGGATTACGACATATCCACCGCCAATGCCCATTTCATCCAGACTACGACCTACCAAACAACATCGAGTTGTACAGCTTGCTTATAGCTTGCGCTTCGGGACCCCAACAAAGCATGGGCTCTTGTCAAAGTTCAGATACACATGTGGGGATTGTTCTGACGCCTGCCCCAGGGCATGAACGTCGATACAGACGCGTTGGCTATTTCCACATTGACATTCAGGAGACAGATGATGATGATCAAGGAATACCGTGGATTCTGGAGAGCTCCAATTTTGTTGAAATAGAGGTCATCTAGCAGAACCTGACAAATCTCACCCGAGGCAGTGTAAAATATTCCTGATATGCCCCTGCTGTTCTGTTACTCGTCCTACACGCCTACTTGTTGGCTCAAACCATATTAGTGCTTCATTCAACGACTCATCAACATATCCAAGAGCTTCCTGCAAGTGTCGTAGACAAGTCTCTCGATCATTACGCGTGATCTCAAAGCGCATCTGCTCTATTCTGCCTAGACCCTCTAGAGCAGCGTAGCGCAACTTGGCCCTTGGGAAACCACTGAGTTGTTCAGCCCGCTCCAAAGCCATCCTATAGTACGACTCTGCGCCTTCTAGATCACCGCCATCTAGGTGATCATCTGCGACATTGGTGACAGTCCAGACAACGTTTCGTGCGAATGCTCCATAGAACGATTCTTGGTTCCGCAAAAGCTGAGCTCGGCGGTATCCACCTTCAATGCGGTCTCGACCGTGATAAAGGCAGTCACAAAGCCGTTCCTCGATATAGAGACGATGCCAGGTGTGGGGGGACTTATCGGAGAATACAGCCAATGCAGCCCGAAGACTCGAGATAGCCGTGCACTGCAGTAGTTCAGGTGGCAATAAGGAGAGAGACAGCAAGAATTGGATGAGAGGGGAGGGTGTCCGTAAGGACGAAGCCATTGCCGCCGAATACCGGAGTAGGCATGTCAATACTTGCTGTGCATTGCAAGCCGAGAGCTCACAAACGATGGCCAACAGTTGGGCAAGACTCATTGGATGGCAGTCAGACAGAAGAGGCTGAACAAGGTCAAAAGCTTGATGGAAGTGTGGAAATGCGCCTGGGCCTCCACGCACCATCTGTGCTAGACCTTCTTGCATGCGGTTACCGAAACGTCCGTGTATTGTAAAATGATGAACCTCTGGCTCTGGGTGGATGTCTCGGCTGAGGTACACTCCGCAGTAGTCAGTTAGACTGGCAGCTGCCTTTTGCTCGAGAGTGAATATAGGCGTGGGGATATTAACAGGAGACATAGACATGGCCACGCTGCTGACTGAAGATAGCGCAGCGATTGTTGAACGACCTTCGCTCGTACCCTCCACAGGGCTATCTCCCTCTTGTAGGAGCCTGACAGGTGGTTCTTCCTGGGACACTGCAGCTGAACGACACCAGTCAATTGGGTTCGGTATACCCTTCCGTCTGAAGTATCGCAGGATCTCGTGCAGCGGGACATGGCGTCCTCGGATCACGAACCAGGGTTCGGGTACTGGCCACGATGCAGGGTCTGGATCAAGTAAGCGAAGAGCCGCAACCATGCCGTGAAACTGGTTGTTTCTTTGCAGGTTCCATTGGCAGATTCGAGCTCTGATCATGCGCGTGTTGACCCTGTATCCTAGCGATTTCAAATGATCCCTGACCTCTGCCATAGAAAGCCTACGGTCGTGGTAGAGTTCTTTGATAAGGGGTCGTAGGCGAGACCAGTCCTCGCTTGATGGTATCGTAAGAACTGATTGGGGATTCACGAGGGGATCCATTAGGGTGACTGATTTGTGAATGATGACATGCATGCAGAGTCTGTGATGGAAGGGATTTGGATATATATGCATGGGCGTTTTGTAGTTCTTACATTGGCGTTCCGTCTCATGGGCTAGATCACACCATGGCTGTCAAACATCCACCCCTTCACACTCCATGTCTTAAGAAATGGGGGGCTCGAGGGTTTTGCAGCATTTGGGGCCCCTCGTACGTTAGCTATATGCAGGTTTAGCGATCCAAACGTCCGAGCAACTTTGTCACGACGCATTAGCCTGATAGCTTATTGGATACCCCTCAAAGTGCACACTCGCAAGGGGGCATTCTTGTAGCGTTCTTCCATAAATATGCCTACGCTAGCCACGTAAAGGCAGCCTTGTTCTAGTGTAGGACTCATTCGGCAATTGCAAGTTGGAATCAGCCCATTTGGGGCTTGAAACTTGAAGAACGGGAGGGTTCAGCTCGTGCGGCTGAGTCTGCGATAGCGTGTAAGTTGCAACATCTACCCAATCGACGGTAACGAGGAGGTCACTATTGATCTACTTATCGATTTTCAACCTGGTTTATCAGAGTTCAGGCTCTTTTGGTGTGGTACTTTACCAAGAATGCAACCACTGTAGTTTTTCAGGCACAAGAACACAGAGCGAATGGCCGAAAATGATTGAATGGGCACTCCACTAAAACCTCACAAAAATGACAGAGTATTATTCAGTACTGAGAAAGAAAGACGGAAGCGCGAAAACAGCAGATCAAGCTAACTTCAACTTCAAGTCCAGTCCTCCCAACTACATCACCACACAACTATCCGTCACAGCATCAACGATCTCCTCCACGATCCCACCACTATCTCCATCATCACTATCACCATACCCAGAGAATCTCGTATGAACGTCAGAGTCATGGATTGGTTGGTTTGTAGTTGTGTCGACGTAGCTGGCGCCGTTGTTGTAGTCAACGCCAACTGTATGGTTATCGCCTGTTGTAAGATCAGGCTTGTCGACGCTGGTGGGATATTCAACCTTTGGAGGAGGTGCAGGAGTTTCTGAAGACATGTTGAACCAGGGTGGATGAGAACTGATGTGAATTGCCTGCTAAGCCGAGATAGATGAGTTGTTCAGCTGAAAGTCAGGAATAACTGAGACGAGTTTGCTGTTGGGTTGTTTGAGTATGTTCTTGATGGAGGCAGAGTCAAGAATATATAGGTATACATGTGTACAATACTTGCTAGCTTCTGGTGTCACTTACAGGAGCCCAGTACTACCATAACTCTATGGAGACATGAGGAACCCGAACTGCTCGGGCAAAAGCAGAATCATGCCTTATCCACGTCTCAAAGAGGAGAGCTTTCATCATAAAGAAGCTTTCAGCCTCAAACTGGGTAGCTAATGCACGGGCGTTTTTCGTTAGTTGGTCATGCATGGGCGTTCTGTCAAACTAGCGGTTTTAGACAACCACAGTCTTCCATTAATTTAGACAACTTACACGAGCGATACGACCCAAGAACCGCTTCTTATACATTGCACTTAGGGTCGCTCTTTCAGCCTCTCTTCAGCTCGCCTATGCATGGGCTTTCTGTCAATATTCGGCGTCTCTAGGGGCAGCTATCATCTGACCGATGCCACCATCTCAAAGACTTACCCTTGCATTGTGAAATAACCTTATCAGCAAGCATACTGATGAGAAACCCTAGAGCTGCATATGTACCGCATATACATGAATGGTATAGGAGTCACAGGATTGTGGTCGTACGCCAAAAAGTGTCTGGATTCAGCCTCGCATGATTTGACACCAGAGAGAATTATATATACCAGAGATTGCCTCTCCAGAAAGGGACTCATATGGCTCAAACCAAGACATAAGAAATCTGCTCACATATTTTGCATTCTCACTTCTCAATATCTCAAATCTGACCTTGGTATCTCTTGCTGAGGTACTAGCAGAGACACAGCTCTGATCATCCTACCCATCGGATCCCCCTCCCCCTCAAGACATTATCTACAAAAAGAAAAGATCAACATGGTCTTCCACCTCGTCCCAGCACTCGCACTCGCAGGCGTCAAGTATGTGATCAAAGAAGCAACTGATGCCCCGACCTGTGGCAAGTGTGGCAGGGAGAAGATGAAGATGTGGGCGGGCTTCCGTATCATCTTTCTTTGTGAGGATTGCGAAGACGGCATGAAAGTCAAGCTGGGCTTGAAGGCCGTACAGATTGCGACTTTTGGTGTAGGTTGATTCTCTCCGATTTGGGTCCAGTATGTGATTTGCGAGATCAACTGCTAATTAATGCTGGCTTGTAGCTGGCGAATTGATACCCGTTGCTGTGATTGAAGAGGATTATACCACCTCTACACAACCGTACGCTGTGTCGATTCATCAATTGGATCTGTCATTTCCAGGATATTGAACAGAGAAGCAGGTGTAGTTTTACATGGGAGTGTTGGATAAGCGATGCAGCATCATTCGTATATGTCGAAGAGCTGGATGGATGACGATGAATGACAATTTGCAGGCAGGATTCACTCATTTATATAGGGATCAAGAATGACACAATTATTTACTTTCTGCAATCTTTTACCGACAGTTCTAGATCATTTACTTTTACTTCATTGTAGGAACGACCTAGGACAAGGCTTTCTTATTTGCATGGGGCATCGAGATGCTCAGTTTGGAGAACTCTACCCAAGTCTCAAGTGCAACTGTCATATCATCAGGTCTGCACCTATTATATTAAACCCAAAGTGTATTTTCTAACCTTATAATTAACTTATAAACTTAACTCTATTACTACCTTTTAATTGCCCTAAACCTTCTTCCCTAATTACACTAATATATATATTATTATAAAACTTTCTTTAGGTTAAGCTTTTTTTATATATTAGTATTTCTTAATAATTCTAATAGCTATATATTATACCTATCTTTTTTAATTAAATTACTATTTATACCTTAAATATAAATATAATCTAAGCTAGATTTTACTATAATAGCTTTATAGCCTTTTCCCTTTCCTTTTTATTTTTTTTTATTTTCTTTAAAGTAAATAGTATATTCTTTTTTTATTAAGTAACTTAAATAACCTTTATAAGGAA